AGCATACAATCTAGTATGCATCAAAGAAGGAGATGAATGGAAGAGTGCGTTTCGAACTAGGTATGGACATTTTGAATACAACGTCATGCCTTTTGGACTTACAAATGCACCAGTAGCTTTTCAACATCTAATAAATGATATTTTTTGAGAGTTTTTGGACGATTTTGTGGTCTGTTATGTAGACGACATCTTGATCTATTCTAAGAATCCAGAAGAACATGAACTTCATGTTAGTCATGTGTTACAAAAATTAAGAGATGCAGGACTCTATGCCGAGATAAAAAAGTGTGTATTCCACACTATTCAAGTCGATTTCTTAGGTTACATCATTTCAAATGATGGACTTATGATAGATCCTAAGAAAGTTCAAACTATTATAGATTGGAAGATCCCAAAAACGGTAAGAGATGTCCAATGCTTTTTGGGATTTGCCAACTACTATCGGATCTTCATCAAAGACTTCTCTCGAGTTGCAGCTCCACTTACACGTTTGACTTGTAAAGACAAACTCTAATGGAATCAAGAAGCAGAAGTTGCTTTTGAATCTTTGAAGACAACGTTTGTTTCTGCACCAATCTTGTATCGTGTTGATTTTTCCAAAGCATTCTTTATGGAAACACATGCATCAGACTTTGCTTTGGGTGCGGTTTTATTACAAATGGGAATAAATGATAAACTTCATCCAGTAGCCTTTCATTCAAGAAAATTCTCAGCAGCAAAAATCAATTATGAGATCCATGACAAAGAACTTCTTGCAATTATGGATTCTTTTCAAGAATGGCGTCATTATCTAGAAGGCGCTTCCAGTTCAGTCACTATGTATACGGATCACAAGAACCTCAAGTATTTTATGTTAGCATGTGTATTAAATCGTTGTCAAGCTCGTTGGAGCATGTCTTTATCAAGATTCGAGTTCATCATCACTTATCGGCTAGGAAAATAATAAGGTTTTTCTGATGCCTTGTCTAGACATTCTTATCTTGCACCAAAAGAAGGAGATGCAGCTTTTGAGCAACAAAGAACGATTTTCTTGAAGTTGGAGCAATTTCATCTTCGAGCAATAAAATCAACATTGATAGTTGATTTAACTTTTCTTAAGCAAGTCTAGTTAAGTATGTCTTCAGACCCTCTTATTCATGATATCAAGAATAATTCTTCTAAATCTCATGATCCTTCTAAATTTGAATTCAAGAACAACCTATTCTATTTTGAAGGACGCCTATATGTTCCAGAAGGAGAAGCACGTTTACGTATTCTTCAAGCTCGTCACGACTTCCCAACAGTAGGACATTTTAGATATAATAAGACTTTGGAGCTGATATCTACAGATTTTTGGTGGCCTCAAATGTGGAAGGTAGTCAAAGATTTTGTACAATCTTGTGATATTTGTTCAAGATCAAAAACTCCTCGTCATCGCCCTTTCGGATTTTTTCACCCATTATCCATTCCAGAACAACCATGGTCTTCTGTTTCTATCGACTTCATCACGGATCTTCCAATCTCAGGTTCTTATGACTCTATATTCGTGATAGTAGATCGTTTTACCAAGATGGCACATTTTGTACCATGTACAAAATCTATCACAGGTGAAGAAACAGCTAAGCTCTTTCTTGACAATATCTATCGCTATTATGGATTATCTAAGGATATTTTATCAGATAGGGAAACTCAATTTGTATCAAGATTTTGGCAGACTCTTTTCAAGATTCTAAAAGTGGATATAAAATTATCTTTGGCATTCCATCCTCAAACTGATGGACAAACGGAGCGTGTTAATCAAGTTTTGGACGAATATTTAAGATGTATCTTTAATTACCAACAAGATGATTGGACAACTCTTTTGCCGTTGGCAAAGTTTGCTTACAATAACACGGTACATTCTTCTACAAAACAAACACCTTTCTTTGCTAATTATGGTTATCATCCATGACTTGATACTTTTGACTTTTCAAAAGTTGATAATCTTGCTGCAAAAGATTTGGCAATTCATTTATCAGAGCTACATGCAACGATAAAGGCGCAGTTAAAAGAGGCTCAAGAACAACAAAAGGTCAATGCAGATGTCTATCGAAATGAACAACCATCATTCATCTTGGGTGATAAGGTATGGCTACTTTGTCGCAATATCAAGACCATTCGTCCTTGTAACAAGTTGGACTATCGAAGGCGTGGACCATTTTCTATTTCTGCACAAATCAATCCAGTTGCATATCGTTTACATCTACTGGAGTCAATGAAAATCCATCCAATATTTCATGTGTCTCTTCTTGAATCATACAAAACAGTGGACAAACCAAAAAGATGACAAGTTCCACCTCCTCTTATAGAAGTGGACAATAATGAAGAGTTTGAAGTAGAAGAAGGCTTAGATTCAAGGCGACGTCGAAATAAATTGGAATATCTTGTCCATTGGCGCGGATATGATATTAGTGAATGCACATGGGAGCCAATAAAGAATCTTGCAAATGTAGCAAAGGTGGTAGAGGCTTTTCATCGATGACATCCATCAAAATCAAGATGAAAACCTTCTTTATAAAAGAAACAACATCTAGGCAAGATAACATTCTACTTTCAATCCTTGTTCGTAGCTTCTTTGTAGTTGTGACATTCAAAAGATGGAGAACCAATAACCAGCGGATTTGACTCAAGAGCCTTCATTTGCTGACCTATCGGACGAGACATTACGATTGTCACAACCTTCAAGACGATGCAATCGAGATGAAGATCTTTAAGAATGATATGTTCTTTCTCAAATAGATGGCGAGATACAACGCGTTTGGTATCTCGATTTAGAAAGGGACTCCCGATGTTTGGTGATTTTGCTAGAAGTAGGAACAACTCCTGATGGTGTTCCAAATGTTCTATTCGAAGGAAGTTATGAAGGCCTCAAAAATGATCAAATAACTGGGTGGTCTTCCCGCCCTGGTATGGGACACTCCTGATGGTTGAGAGGCCCTATCAATCATCTTCGAAGAGAACAAAGATTAGAGTATGTGGCGAATAGAATTCATCGCATCATAGATTTTCTCAACATATGATTACTACTCTTCATGGAACTTGTCCCTAGAAGGGGAGATAATGTCACGGAAATACTCATATAAGCTAGTAATTACATATAAAAATAGGTGGAAGTAAGTAAAAGTAGATAAAAGTAAGTTAATTCTATAGTATTTGATATGAAAGCTTCCTAAAAGCTTCATAGATGCTACTTTGACTTCATAGGTGTCTTTAATTGATTTTTTGGATTAGAAACGTGGTCAATAAGTTGGCCATGGGCCACACATATTGTTAGCTTGAAGATCAAGCTAACTATGTAGCCCACACATAGAAAAACTTGCCTTGTAAGTCAAAGCATGTGTCCTACAAAGTCAATACATATTGGAGGTCCTATAGAACGTCGCCATGTAGCCCTTAGTTAGATAGTATATATAAAGACAAGAGTGAAGCCTTCTTCACTCTTATCAACTCCTTTCTTGCTTCCAGTCGAGTTTCAAGGGTCTCTAGTTTTCTTGTCTTTTGGCAATAGCCATTCCAATTTCTCTTTCAATATACATACTTGTTTATTTATATTTTGTTACCTTTTTTTGAGTGAAGGCTCACTTGTCTGAATTACTTTTTCATCGAGTTCTTGTCCTTGACACCATATTATAAAACAATCTCATTTCATCCATGTTGTATACATTGTGCAAATCATAACTTGCAATACAGATGTGTAAAGCAAACATGACTATAATAATACCAACTTGACTAGCTAAGCTTATCTCTCTATGCATCTTGATTACTTTCAACTTGTAGCAAGAAAAAAAATTCTTAAACTAGTATTTTGAAAATTCTATTTTGCCTTCAAGGATTGCAAGGATCTCTACAAAGCATCAACCACACTCTTTAATGAGCTTTGTTGACAACAACACATTTCAAGATCATCATTGAAGAATCCATATAGCAAGTAATTCCTTGAAGTCAGAAAAGTGAACCTTCATTGGGCGCTTTGGTCCTAGTCAATGGCTTTGTACTTATCCCATTTCTTTAAGATTTTGCTAATAGTGACTTGTGAAGGTACTTTTGCAAGCTTAAACTTGTTTTTGGCCTACTTTGCAAGAGCTATCTATGAGATGAAAGGTTGTGGATCCTTTTACTTGCAAATCAGTATTTACTAGGTAATGGTGAAGCATGACATTATATGGAGCATGCAAGTATTGGATGTGCAAGAGAAAAGGCACTAGGTTAGCCTTAAGTGGAGACTCGAGTAGATTCATGATTTGGCTAAACTTGATAAACTTGATCAATTTCGACCTCCTGTAAGTTATGTTTTGGGAAGTGAACGGATCCTAAAATTTACAAGAGGTAACATTGTGTATATATTTATATATATATATATATATATACATATATATAAGTATTACACATACAATGTATACTATACTATACAATGTTTCCTCAGGATGAGAAAGGGATTCCTGTGGAGGTGAAAGGAGATGAGTTTGACCAGAAAACCTGCGAGACCTGCCATAGTCGGAACAACATCGGGCTCGTACACGAAAGCCAGGCAGGCCCAGCAAGCAAATCTGGACACCCCCCACCCCCCATTTATTGTAATGCATTATTACATGGCATTGCATTGCATTGTATGTCATATCCCCTACCATTGCGTTGCGTCTCGTTGCGTTTCGTAGCGTTTGATATGATGCGATCGGATCCAATGCCACGCCTTCATCATCGAAGATGCGACGCCATCATGGCTCGCGCGGCACCCGGACCACGCAGACCACACCAAATCCAAAAAAAAGGATTATCGCGGAGGAAGAGGAAGAGGACGACGAAGACTCAGAGCGTGCGTGAGAGCATGCGTGCCGTGGAACGAGACAGCGGTGACGCGAAGACCAGCTTTCGGATGGGGCTCGGAATCAAGCGCAAGGAGGTGGGACACGAGGCGAACTAATCCTCCGCGAAGACTGGTGCAGAATCTCATGGATCAATCCATCCACAAAATCCCATTCTCCGCTCCTAGCCATGCGTTCTGGGACCCCCACAACCCCTCGCGAACTGCTGCTGCGGCTGCCCACTCGACTTTCCTCGTCGTTCTCCTCCTTCCTGCTCTTGCTCGCCACCATAATCAGCCCCGACAATTCAAGCAATTCAATGCAACTGGTCGTTCCAACTGGTGTTTCTGTGCATCAGATCTCTCTCTTGCAGCTAGCCAGCTGCATCTGCTGTTCCCCCCTTGCGTTTGATCAGGTGTGTTGGACCTCACTGCGTGCCATGGGAGCTTCGGGTTCGTGACTACTTTCCTGCTTGTGTTCGTGTTGGTGTGAGCTCAACGTGGAAGCCTAAGGGTGTTTTCTGTACTGCCCGCGAAACGCTTATCAGCTTCACGGCGACGATTCACTGTCTGTCGCAGCGGATTGATTTTTTTTCTCGAAGGGAGTGAGTAGTGGGTATTGGTGAGTTTCACTTTGGGGGAGCGTAGGTGCTTGTGCAGGGGAGGATCAGCGTGGGGCAGCTGGATTGCTTCAGGCCTCTGTCGAAGGTAAGAGATCGGTATCGATTTATTTGATCATAATTCTAGCGGTCTGCGTCCACGGATTTTTCGATTCGGAGGAAGTGTTGAGAGATACACGCATCAATCGTGTGAGAAAAGCAGAACTTCGACGTTGATTAGAACTGACCAGAGACTGTCAAAAGCTGGTTATTACTTGTTGATACTCGACTCCATTTGAGCACTTCCTGTGAAGTATACAGTGAATTGTCAGGTTTTGGCGATTATTGATGTTGGTGGCGTGTCGCAAGCTCGCTAGAAGTCTCGTAGACCTACATCTCAGGAGTTTTAGATTATTTTGCTTCTGGAATTCCTACCCGTGGAGGAGACCAGTCCTCGGCAATTTTGCACCTCCTCTCAGAGTGCAGGCGCGGTTCCGGTCAGGGCTGTGGCTACAGTTTCTTTTCCACGATACACCTCGTAGTATCAACTAGAAGAATAGCCACGTAGCGTCAATGAGAGATGTCGAAGTGCGAGAACATTGCTGTCTTCTCTTCTCTGTGATGATTCCACCTTCAAATAGTTTCTCGTCATTCTGATTTTTTTGTGATTTGTTTCAGATCAAATCGTATAGCTGAGAAATCCCAGAGATTGAAGCCTGGGTGCCAAATATGACATGAGAGCTGCGACAGGATTCCGAGCCCTCCGAAGCATAGTTTCAGAGGTCTCGAAATGCTCCACTGGATAGCAGCACGAAATTGAGTCATTCTCAGGCGCCGCAGATGTTTCTCCAACCTATGAGCCGGCAGGATGATGCGGGAGGCCAATTGTTGAGGGAGCTTGAAGCTTTGAATCAAGTGCTTTACAGTGCAGGGCACCAGAATGGTCGATCCTCTCGGAAAGAAACGCCGTCTTCTCCTTACCTCGGCAGCGTACCCTCTCCTCGAAGACTACAGGAACCTAAATCTCCTCTCCTCGGAAGCAGATTCTTCCAACCTCCATCGCCTCACCTCGGTGGTAGAGCGTACCAAGCTCCTCCATTTCCTTATCTCGGATCTAGGAGAGACAGTCAGGTCGAGGAATCGCCCTCGTCGAATGCAACCTCGTACGGTAGCCCTAGAGGTAGGGACATCCTATTAGATGACCAACCATCATCGCCTTACCTAGGCGGTAGGAAAGGCGGTGTCCAAGCTCCGTCTCCATATCTCGGAGGACTGGATGGGCCGCAAAACGAGCCTAGGAGTCCAGTGATAATAAGCTTGAATGGTAACAATGGCCTGTCTTTTGGGAGATCCGGAAGCAGGAGAGACGGATCAGGCAAACCTCCTTTGCCTGAGCCTGTATCGCCATTCATTAGCGCCCGTCGAAGTGTAGACAGCGCACCATCTCCGAGGACTCAGTTCCTACGGTTATCGGAGGACAATCCTTCGAGGTCTCCATTGAGTACTGGGGGCCAATTTGCCCATGGCTTGTCGTCTCCGGTTCTGCGCGCTCGACGAAGTGAGGACAGCCCGCGTATGGGCAGCAGGGCCCAGGAACCGCAGTCGAGGTTGGGACGAATCGAGGAAACAGGGAGGTCATATTACGAGAGGGAGCGAGGACTTGATCAATTGTCTCGTGGAAATGGGCCACTATCGCCGCGTACTGGATTACCCCGCGCGTTGGACGATTCGCCGACGGCAGTGAGCTCGTTTGGAAGCCTGGATATTACCGAGTTCAATCTGTCTCCTGCTGCATCTGGGATTAGATCTCCTCACCAACGACCTCCGCTTCATTCTAGGATTTCTCCTCTTTCGCAATCAGAGGATCTTAGCAACATGATTGAGGTTTACAGGCTTGATGGTGGAAGAGAGAGTATAGGAGACCGTGGATTACAGCCTTGGCACTCACTGGGATCCGAGAAATTCCTCCCCGAGGTGTCCAACTTCCCGGTGTGGCTGGAGGACAATGTGCAGTTTAGCAGACAGCTCGTAGCATCGAAGGAGAAGAAGGGTCTTTGGAACTGGAAGCCCTTTCGAGCCATCGCGCACATTGGCCACCAACGTTTCAACTGCATGTTTACGGTCCACGTCCATGGCATCCAGGGCCTTCCTGCCGTCATGAACGGACTTCGCCTCTCGGTCTCGTGGAAGAGGAAAGATTTGCATACGCAAACCATACCGGCTCGGGTTTTCCAAGGCTTAGCGGAGTTCGAGGAGACACTATTTTTGAAGTCCGTCGTCTACGGTACGAAAGATGGCCACAAGGGTGTGAAATTCGAGCCTAGAAACTTTGACTTAGCGGTGGTTGCACCGGACATTGACGAGCACGTTCTTGGAAAGCATAGACTCGATCTTAGCCGTCTGCTTCCCAAGTCCTCCGAGGGCGGAGACGAGGAGGATGACCGCAGCTGGACCACTAGCTTCAAACTGGCAGGGAAGGCGAAAGGCGGAGTCCTGGTTGTTACCTTCGGATGCCAGCTCCTGAACAAAAACTCGGAGCCAACGAACAACTTGTCCAGCGCGAGGTTCAGCGATTCTCCGATGGTAAAGCCCATGCGATCCTACAATAGTTTGCCGACTTCTCCAAAGGAATCGAGCCGAGGAGGCAGGCCATTGGAGTTAATCAGGTCCCCCTATTCTCCTGCCATGTCCGAGCTTTCAAATGACGCGGAATACATGAAGATGGAGCACCTCAACCTCAACGATGACTACAGCCCCTTTGGCAATGACGGTGGCAGTGGGCATCACCGTTTCAGTTTTGGAAAGAGCAGCCTGAAGGGGCAGATTCGGCCCAGCTTTGAGTTCCAGGGGAGCCCGAAGAAGCTCTTCGATGATCTGCCAGCGACTCATGAAGCGGGTGAAAATTTGACGATAACATCCACCGAGGCGTTTTACGAAACAACTTGGGATGAGAATGAAGCTTCGACGAACAAGTCATGCGAGGAATTATATGAGGAGGACGATGGTTCTGAGTTTACGGTAGTGTGTCAGGGGCATGAAATTAGTTCTATTGTTGATACGGCTGCGCCGGTGCTGGAGTATGACGACCCTAATGCCGAAAACGACAATGTCATAGGATTGCCAGATGGAGATACAGACGCTGAAGTCGCAATGGATGGTCAGTGACTATCTCCTTATTCGCATAACCTTATCACTTGCTGACATTGATTCATCTGCGTGAACGATGATGCGACGGTAAAATCTCTAGCCACCACTTGTGTCATCGTCTTCTAACTCGTGCCTGCACATTGCTGTTGCACATTCTGCAGTTACTGAACCTCAGCTCGGCGTGGAGCTGTCTGAGGCCGGGGAGGTGTCCTCTACTGATATAGATTCGAAGACAGAGCTATCCGATTTGGGTGACGCGGTTTCGAAGCCAATCGCTCCACAAGCGTTGGAATCTGACAGTGATAACAAGGCACTTTTGATGGTTGATGACGCCGATGTTAAGTTTGAGGATAGAAGCGAAGGTAGTGCAATTGAAAAAGAAGTGGTAAATAGTGCGAAGCATCAGGAACAACATGGTAGTATAGTTGATGTTCCAGAGGATAAGGGTTCAGGCTTTGAAGAGGATTCGGAAGTTGCAACCGACTCACTATCGGTTGCAGCGCCAGCCAGCAACGCAGACGACGTAAACCGTCGAAACGATTTCTCATTGGATGGGAAAGCAGAAGCAGAAGAAGAGGACGACACGAGTGTGATCTTTGCGGACAACAAAGATGAAGAAAACACCGTTGTCATGGACTTTGTGGAACGCAATGTTGAAGTAGAGGAGATGACAATGAAGATGGCAGTTGCAGAGAGCCATGAAGTAGATAAGGAAATGACACCAAATGTTGTGGACTACATGAATAGCAGCGTCAAAGAAACAAAGCCGTTGACAGCTACCTGGCTCCAAGTGAAGACGAAGCAAGAGTTTGACGATGATTATGATCTCGTCGCCGGGGAGTTCTTGAGCTTGTTGAGGGACGATGTGAGCTCCGTGGCGGCCACTTCTCAAAGCGGGGAAGATTCACCGCGTGCTTTGCTGTTGCAGCAGTTTGAACAGGAGGCACTGATCGAGGGCGGCTTGGATTTCAATTTCCACTTGCCAGAGTATGCGAAGTTCAGGGTTGAAGGGGCGCAAGAGAAGTCACCATTGGTTTCTGACGACATGGACATCCCAGGTTAGTTCTGGTCTACTGGAATTCCTCCAGCTGTCTCAGTTTGAGGCAAGTTAGTTGCCGGCTATTAACACAATGAACTTAATGTGATCCACTTTCAGATTGGGACGACGAATACGACGACGAATTCGCAGCTATCATGGAAATTGCTGAAGCGGAGCTCCAGAAAGAAACGCAGCTGCTGCAAAGCAAGGCGCGAGCAAAACTGCTTGAGGATGAGGAAACCAAATTTCTCATGCAAGAGTGGGGCCTCAACGACAATGCATTCGACAGACCTGAGGTGACGCAAGATGACAGCCTTGCGATTGTTCCTGTGTTGCCAGTACCTCCATCATGGAACATGCTGCACTCTCATGGCGGCGGTTCCTTTCCTCATTTTGAAGGGGGTGGAGCAAACCGGCAGATGCTGTTCCAAGGACCCAAATTAGTTGAGATGTTTTCAGAAAAAGACGCGCTCGGCCGGATGGCTGTGTCGGGGATGCAAGGTAATGGCCATGGAAGGTGTTTTAGAAGTAGCATTGGATCTGATTTTGATTGAGTAAAAACCTGCAAGCGTCGCACTTCCCCTGGACCACAGTTCCTGTAGAAGTTGTGTTTGCGAACCAGAGTCCTGCAGTTGCACGGGGGCGCACCTCATCTGGGAGATTCATTCCTTCATTTAGCATTAGTGATGAGATGGATTGACTTCTTCGGGTGCGTGGCTTGCAACCGCATGGAGTATTCTTCGAGTAAATGTTTCCCGTCTGCGCTAATTTGCTGCCTTCGAGCTAATTGTGATAGTGCTTTCGTGACCAGATTTGCGGCTTTAGGGTACGGCGACCGTAACGCACTCACACTACGGGACAATAGCAATATGTCATCGATTGTGCACACATTTACAACACATAGGGTTGCATTGTTGGAGGCCTCACTGGATCATCATTGCTTACGAAATGGCAGAGCCTGTACGTACATTCTAGAGAGTTGAGTGGATGTTATGAACAACTTGAGCAGAAACTGAAGGAGGGGTGGATGAAGCGTATGCTCTCTCTCGTCATGGTCAGTGTCCTTCCCGTTCAAACCGAATTCTACTAGCACTGAACCCTACTTGTGTAATAGTCCTCTTTCTACTCTCGTTGGATCACGGGACTAACAATGGAGGTGAAATGCGTGTGGAAAACAGGCCAATCGTGAAAGACAAGCGAGTATATTCTCTGCAAGCGACTCGCTGGGCGAAACATCTGAAATACTCCGCGCTCATGGTTATTGCTCTGTTCTATCCTTCAACAACGCAGGTATTTCAGAGACTTAGACCTGGGCAGGGGATTTCGTAAGCCGGTTTCACTGATGTCGATAATGCTCATGATCCACGTTTATCGAAAGTCGGTGAAGAACAAGCAAAAACCTTATATCATTTCAAGGATCAGGCGGGGATCGATGCGTACCAATCCACAAAACTGCACCCGGAAACAAACGGATCTGGGTTCACAAGTACCCAGTTGTTTTGCGAGAATAAATAGATGTTGAGTAGAACCGATCCTGATTACTGGGCACATTGTAAGATTGTCCTTGAAGATCACATGATGTACATAAGCCTACGGGGCGTATATTTTTTTTTTGCAGTTTTCATTAATCTAGAAGCTTGTAATATGCTTGTTAAGGTAAATAGATGTTGACAGGAACTGTCTTGAATGAAACAAGACGCCATGCGTTTCAGCAGCTGTGAGTCTGGCATTTTCTTGTGCTCTTCCTGATCTTCAACCTCTGTCATCTTCCTTAAGTGGGTAGTAGTCTTCATCTGCCCCATTCTATTGTTGTTGTACTAACTATGAATCATAACATCCCTTGATAAAGCGCAGTTCACTCATATTTCACTCACTGCAAAGCCTCTCACACCTTGACAATTGAGCAATGCCACAACTTGAAAAGCTTTAGTGGCTAGGCTCAAATCAAGCTTCAATCAGTAAAATGTTTTTGTAAAAAGATGTTTGCATACTAGAATTTGACTTTGCCCATGCGATACATCCATTATTGAGATGACAACATTTGGCTTAGATAATATAATATGAATCTACTTTTGTCTTCACAGTAGTAGTGCAAAGCATCATGCATAAATGACCAATGATGATATATCAAGAAATTTTCGAGTAACACACAAAAAAAAATTGTAGTCCTAAAATTGAAGGACTGTAATTATTAACACTGAGTGGTTTAAGTGATATTATAACTTAATATTATCGTAAACAACTATTAATTATTATCTTTAAATGATATTCTTTTTAGCAAAAACTAAAGCATTACTGAGATAAAAAACCAAAGCTTCAAAATTAAATAAAAAACAAGCGCAGTTTGAGAACCAAAATTAAAATTATTTATAAAAGAAAGACCTAAATGTTTTTTAAATGTTTTTTAAATTAAAATTATCTTATTATATCAATGGAAATAATAAAAAAAATTAAAATTAAAATAATAAAAATAATCATGATAATGAGTATTGAACTTTTAGTCAGAATGATATTGGAGACAGGACTCTTTATTCTTTCCTTGTATTCCATCCTACTGTCAAAGATCTATTCAAGATCCTTTAAATCTTGTAGTGTAGGTACAAAGGCATCATTTGGTATGCTGTATATATATATATATATATATATATATATTCTAAAAGCACTTCATTATTATAAAAATTAGAGCCATATAATTTGATATTGAATGCAAAAGATTAGTGCAAGAGATTATTTTGGAAATGTGTTGAAAACAGTATGTATTTGTTGTATTTTTGTAAATGGTTTCCTTGATAAAATATATATTAAAAAAATAAAAATACAATATTTAACTTTATATTATATGTTAATATATTTTAACTGCGTATATATTATATATATATATATATATATTAATTTTAATGTTATATTTTAAAGTTAATATATAAAATTAATTTCCAAAGGGTAAGTTTTCCACAAAAGATTAGCATTGAAGCAATGATAGAACTTCAACATTAAAACCTTAGCCAACAAAGACATCATTATCATCACAAGAAATGAAACATGAATATGTGTATACATGTACAAATAAATAAATAAATAAGTTAATAAATATAAAATCTAACAAATAAAATAATAAATGCAAGAACTGTTCCAGCTAAACAAAAATATACAAATCCAGTAGCAATGATGAAATGACAAGATCACAAATACAATATTTAAAAATACAAGAATGTTTTTTAAGAACCATAAACAAAAGTTACAAATAAGAATACTAATTTTCTAGTGGAAGTACGAAAAGCATATAATATAACTACATTGTATTTTATAATGTACGTTTATTTATCGACATTAAGTAGATAAATACATATTGTAGATAAATATATTAGATAAAATGACATATTACATTGGTATCCCTCCTTGTAACTGAAAACACATTTTTATCGCACATGAACAATGATTTGTTCCACTCAGTTGCTGTGACGCCACAAACAATTTGACAAACCCATCAGAGCCTGCATAGTAAAATGAGTGCACTTGTTTGCATTTTCTAGGTCTTTGGGTAATCCATGTTTGTAAACCACCTTCTTCATGTTCTTAGCAATTCAACCTTCTACAAGGTTCCCTTCGATGCTCAGGGTTGACAGAAAGAGGTGCTGTCTGTACATGACTTTTCAAGCGTACCCTCCTTCCACCACCCTCACAAACAATGATCTGTAATCGTTCTGGATGGTCTTAATCACTTTTTCATGATCTTGTGCTTATTTTCCTTAATCAAGCTTAATTGTGTGCACATCAAATGGCGAGGATGAAATCAGAGCACTTCTTTCCGACTGTCAAAGGCCACTGGGAGATTCAACACTCAGATGACTTAATCGACGCCATACGTATTCGGCAAATCTCCAACTACTACGACAGAAGCATACGCACGCCTCATCCTGTGAAAAAGTTCGGTCTCTCTGCAGATTCTCAAGCTATGCCAGTAACTGGATTTGCGCCGCCAGACAGAGTTCCTGACCCGGCTCCAATTGAAACAGACTCTCTCTTACTGCCAAACACTACATCAACTTCTAGATCAACTTTACACAACCGCTGTCGGTCAGAAACTTACGCGATGACGGATACAATGAAAGGACTAGAAGCTCCAAGGCAAGATAGTTTTCCATCCACACATTGCAATGTTGCAGCTTCCTTTAGCAATCTTGGCATTTCTTCCAATCATCGCAGGCTGTCGCATGAATCCAAGCGTTTCAGAATCCTCTCGACAACCACCCTTCTGGAAACTTCGCCGCTTGAAGCGCAAGCATCAGGTGTAAGGGTAGGTCATCTGCCAGCTCGTCGAACGCATGTAATCGCCACAGAAGTCACACAACCATGGAAACCAGACAATTGCCGCCACAGCGCACCTGAGGTTCAGAATACGAAGCCTCTCACACCCCAAAAACCCACATTCATCGACGAAGAAGCAGACTACTCCGAGGCAATATTAGCGGCCATGTCTGCAGCGACGATGCACGGCTTGACTTTCACCGTCCCAGTCCCCAATTCCGCTGCCATTTCCTCGACTACGTCAAGTGACGTCCCATTGGCAACACCAACTGGATACTATGTTCCATAACGCCAGAGCGGTGCCATTAATGAAGCTTTTCTACCAACGCTGACAAGTTTTGGACGCTGCTTGGCGGACCGAAATACGTAATCCTCAGACCTGCGCGATCCCATTTTGCGATCCCCCTTCAACATCGCTCGGCGCAGCATTCTGAAAGCAAAATCGCCTCCAGCGATCTGTTATTTTTGCAACGACAGGCGAATACGAAGTGAAAAAAAATACTCAATATCAGAAGAATACTCATTATCAGAAGAGTACTCACTATCAGAAGAGTACTTACTATCATACGTGGATTCCTATTCTAGTTGGTGATATACTCCCCAGTCCACGTAGGATTTGTTTAGAAGGTTAGTTAACTTTGCGCAATGGCACTCAAGTTTTCGAATGATTTTACATGAATTTGAATGCCTTTGTTCTTTTTTCTTTTCCTTTCTTTTCTTTTCTAAGTAGTATTGTAGATCAATGTATTGGTTTCTATTCCATATACCATAAAACATAGGTTGTGGAATATGGTTTTAAATCTCCCAAAACATAAAATAAAAATAAAACTGTAATGAAAATACAAATGTTGTGGAAAAAGAAACTTTTATAAAGCTTTGAAATTCAATTCAATGGTGGTCAAAAGAATGGATTAATCTCAACTCTCCATTTAATGTTTCCAAAGAGAGGTTACATACCTTTTTGGAAAAAATATCAGACAGCAAAATAAACATTGAGAAATTCATCGATTTAGTTTTTTTAAAAAATGTTTATTGAGAATCAAGAAATACACTCTATAGATAACTGTCTTAGAGCATAAAGAAGGTGATTAACCAACTCTTTCAAAATAAACAGGCTTTTAAGCCACACCTAGAATAAAATTTCAACAAAAGATTCAACAAAATTAGTGTTTATGCTTTGTTTCTTGTTAAAGTTTATTACTCAATGCAATTTTCTTCCTGTATGTAAGTTGTAAATGATTCCTTAAGCCAAGTGTTTATATGATTACTAGGAAATTTTTCAATTTTCATTTATTTATTTATTTATTTTATTATTATTTTTTACCTTTCTGAACTTACTAAACAGATGCATGGGGCCTACATGATTTACAAAATGATTCTATGTTGCTATGAAATTTTGCAATAAGACTATGCAAATTGGATATTTATTTATTTATGCTTGTACAATATTGTTTAATAAACAAAAGTAAATCTTGATTCTTAGGAAGTTTTGACTGAAGGTTATGCTCAACAGTTAGTAAAAACCTACTCCATATGATAACCATTTGTACCATGAGTTTATTAATCAAACCACAACAAAAACTTGATAAACTTAAATAAACTTAATAAGCCTAATAAACCTAAATAGCGACTGTAGATCATTATAATAGATAGAAGCTACCAACTTACAACATAGTATCAAACCTTCACGTACAAGATTTCATGATATTTGGTGTAAAATTGCGCTTGAAAAAAAAAAAAACAAAAAAAACAAAAAAAACATGTCTAAGTCACATGATTTTTTCCCTATATCAATAAAAACTTTTTGTAACAAATAATATAAAATCATTTACTTTGGTGGTTAAAGAAAATGAGCTGCGTCCTAAAGACCCATAGATGTTTTTATATATATAAGAAATTTAAAGCCTCATTATAAACTACTTGTCACGTTTAAAATTTACACAAATTTTAATGATTTTTATAATTATTTCATTATTTATCAAAGTACATCTCTTCCATTTTATGTTTGAGTAACAATTCATGATTACCCTTGTTTGTTGAAATCTCCTTAACAATCGATTCTCCATCTGAAATCAACCTTCGAATGCTGAGAAATTAACACTTGACCTAATCAACGAGATAATTGAACGAATGAAGTTGTTCAATTTCATCCCTATTCGATTTCCACCGACTCATCTAGTCAACGAGTTTTCATCTAGCTCAAACAGCCACGGACGAGTTCCCTGGACCGTAGATCTTATGGTTTTGATCCAATGGATCACGTTATTTGTGAATTCCGAGCTTAGGGCTGGGGTTTTAGGGTTTGGTCTGAGAGGTTGAAGGTCTTGAGAGACCAGACAAGAGATCCTCTTTTCCAGTTTTTGTTCTCTTGCGGTGGAAGCTCCGCAAGCTTCAACACCAAGATGGTGCACGTTGCTTCCTTCCGCAATTGTAAGTAATCATTCTGAGTGGAATCGTGTGTTTGTCTTGATTGATTGCGGGATGTGGTCTGCATTCCTCGCTGCGTAGTGAATTCCTCAGCTTGTAGGAAACGCATGAATTTAGGGTTTTCTGCAGGAATTATTGCTGTGATTTAGAGCTTACGTGGTTTTTCTGTGTAGTGTTCTTACCTCTGCCGCTCGGCCCTTTTCTTACCCGCTCCCACATTGTGTTTGGTTAGAATGTTAACATTTTAGGGTTTACGGATCGTTTGTGGTCTGGTAGGTTTTTAGGCTTGTTTGTTTATCTTATTCCTTCCTTGTGTAGATGGGAAGACATTTAAGAAGCCCCGTAGGCCCTTCGAGAAGGAACGTCTCGATGCTGAGCTGAAGTTGGTGGGAGAGTATGGTCTCCGCAACAAGCGCGAGCTCTGGAGGGTGCAGTATGCCCTTAGCCGTATCCGCAACAATGCCCGTATGTTGCTTACCTTGGATGAGAAGAACACTCGTCGTATCTTCGAGGGAGAGGCCCTTCTGAGACGCATGAATCGGTATGGTCTTCTCGATGAAAATCAGAGCAAGCTCGATTATGTGCTGGCTCTTACCGTGGAGAACTTTCTGGAGCGACGCCTCCAGACTCTTGTGTTCAAGTCTGGCATGGCCAAGTCCATCCACCACGCCCGTGTTCTCATCAAGCAACGCCACATCAGGTCAGTGTTTCTCTGGAATTATCATGTATAATAACATTCACTACGCACATAGCTAGTATATACACTCAATTTAACGAATTTTTTATGTCAGTAATTAGTGGTCCACTCAGATATCTTCAATTACAAAGTAGCTTTGGAAACAACCCATCGAATGGGTAACATTGTGCAGTTAGCCAGTTCTGAGATTTTATTCAGAAACACATGATCAAGGTCACTTCTGCTACGTGGCTAATACCCGCAGTATATCTCACGGATTCTTGTACTTGATCTCTTCCTGACATGTGACTGTTTTGTAATGTCTTGACAGGGTCGGCAAACAAATCGTCGATGTCCCCTCTTTTATGGTTCGCGTTGACAGTCAGAAGCACGTTGACTTTGCTCTGTCAAGCCCACTTGGTGGCGGAAGACCTGGCAGAGTGAAGCGCAAGAACATGAAGGCTGCATCCAAGAAGGCATCCGGTGGTGACGATGATGAGGAAGAGGATGACGAGTAGATCTTGAATTTACCAGTAGCGGAGGGGGTTCACCAGGCTATTTCTGTGATTGATGAATAACCTAAGAAAAGCAGTTGATTCCCTTTCCTGTGGATAACAATGCATCCACTCTTTGTGTCGATTTTCCTCTTCTTTTACGATGTGCATTTTCGTGTAGGTAAGCTTACATTTGCATTGACCGTGTTTGTTTGTAATCCGTAAGATCTGGAACATAATTCCGATACCATTTTATTTTGAAGTCCTGAAGCATGCTTGACTGGTCAATTTTAATTACTCTAACCTTTTGGTGCTGTATTCGATATTTCTTCTCCGTTGTCTTCTGATAAGAAAGGCTTCCAACTTCAAATTGAATAGGAACCTTTTTCCTGAGTTTATCGCCGAAAACGTAATTGATTGAATGATATTGAAAAATGTGTTGCAAGAGTAGGTCAAATTTCTACTTCCGAATTATGAGTAGACTCCCATGCACCACTAATGATATCGTCTATTGGGTTGAGATTGCATTCGACCTGTCGCTGACGGATAAAGGCAGAGGAAAGTATGCTTCAATGCAGTGTCGACTTTTCTGCAAATTGTTGTATAAATGTTCATTACCGATGTATTCACACATGCATTTGTATATGTATGTGTATATATAATGCAACAAAAAGAATTATGTCTGGTTCCTTGATTTCATAATTTTAGGACGTTGGACAATACTTAGTTTTCGTTAAATTTAGTTTACAAATAGTTCAAAAAACAGGAAATTCCCTGTTCATTTTAAAAATGTAACTAATTATTTTAGTTTACGTCATGTTTGATTGGAGGCACAAATTGTTACATCGGAATCTCTATTCAAATGTTGCATAAATTCTGATATCTACATATTATTTTAATTTTTGTTGGGAGCGTCAAAACTAAAAATCACTATTTTAGCAAATAAACCAAGCGGGTATATATATATATATATATATATATATACACTTCTGTGTGAGAGATTCAAGGATACGTTGCAAGATACAGTAGCTTACAATGTGATTATCTCAAACATAAACAAATTTCTTTTACAAAGTGTGCATGACTATTCACCTCACATGGGCATGAATCGACCAGGTTGGACTGTGCAAGGGGAAGACTGGGATTACTGATATATTGATTATATTTTATAATCGTGTAAGATATTATAATCGCCTCGGCCTCTCAATTCCTTCACATCACACTAATCAAACGTGCTGAGGTTTCATCCACCGCGGTTTTTTTTTTTTTTTTTTACCCTTGGTACTCTGGTTCCTCTCGTTTTTCTGTTTTTTCGCTTCCTCTCTCACCCTTTTACCACTTGCAGTAGGTCGCCGGAGTCAGGCCATTCGTTTTATTTGTTTTTGTTTCTAGCTTGACTTCTGATGCCAATTTGGCTGGATCATGTTGGTCCGGTGTTTGTGGTGCTGGATCCAGGTAGAACACACCGCTGTTCGGTAGTTCGTTCATCGTTGGAGGGCCTCGGATATCCTTCCATCAGACTCTTGGATTGGTGAAGTTTGTGTAGGTGCCTCTCAGTGTTGGCTTTCCGAAGAACCAAGGATTATTAAAATTGAAGGCAGGAGGGAATTGTGGCAACAATTCGAGTGAAGAGTGGTCAGCAGCGTTGACAGGTTGGATCTCCCAACTTCGGAGAAGCAACTCTCGATTCTCAACCACTGGATTGCTATTGGTGTTGCTGAAACCCTAAACCCTAAACTGGGTGAGCTTGGTCCGAGGCAAGAGCACTTTTATTTTCCTTTCTGTTGTTGCATAAATCTCTTAACTAACTTGTTTACAGGACGTAATCTAGGTTTTTTTTTCAGAACTGGTTCAATAAAGGACAAAACAGGTTTATCTTAACCAATATCAATTGGTTGTATTCACACTCAATCCAAGCTCTCGTCTTCACGTACTTTTATCTTAATTCAGTTTTAATTTTTTTCTTGATTTTGATTGCTGGTTGTAGATACAGAAATTTGAATTAAAAAACAAGTTGAATAATAATAAAATAAAATAATAAATATAAAACATAAAACAATAATAAAAGAAGATATAAAATAGTAAAATAATAAAGTAGAAAAAAGTAAAAATATGAATTTATATGTTAACTCAAATATATAAATTTGTACTTACATTAAGTGATTCAAAGTTGGAATTTAATATGTTTAGGAAGTGGTTATCTAAGGTGGTTTTGCATCTGAAACTTGTATATTTGTTATTAAAGTAAAAGTAGAAAATGTTACCTTGTATAGGATATTATCTTAGGTAAGTTACTAGTGGTCAAAGGTTTGGCTCTTAGTATATGGTAAAAGCATCCAATGGATATAGGACGAAGTCATGGACCAAGAGTCAAAGCCAAAAGGATAAAGTATTAACAAGGAAATATCCAAAGACTAAGTATGAATCATTAGTGTGTGTCGTAAGATACTCGCAAAGTTTGTGAGATGCCAAAGGATCCTAAGAGCATGTGTGTAAGACATAAGAGTAATTAATATTGGACATAGGATACTCTTGGGACTTGTGAGATGCCAAAAGGATCCTAGGGCCATATGTATAAAAGTCAAAGAGTGGACGTTGTCTTTTAGGGTAGCAACTACCACCTATAAGTAATGGGTGTTGGAAGTGAGAGATATCTTACTCCATACTCTCTTTGTGAGCAACCTTACTGATGCTAAGTGTTGTGTCTTCTAAGTACTTGTTTAGTTAATAGGTTATGGGCCCACTCACCTTTATTTGTGAGTTTTGAAGTACTTTGAAGTCTTTCTTGTTGTAAGGAGTAGATCTTATGGTTATTGCTGAAGTTTGAGTTTGTTATCTTCTAATCCTTCTTATGCATCTAGTTGTTGATGTAATTTTACTCTTATTTATTATTAAGTGCACTTATAGTCTTTGTTGTTGTTAGACTCCATATAATGATGTTTTAGAACTTTAGTGTTATATTTCTTTGTTGAGATTTCTCATTGGTATTCTAACTTTGTGCTTTCATGTACTTAACTTCTTAAGAGATTGTTCTATTTTCACAAGAATTTTTTTTATGAGGTCAGAAGTATTTTGTGAAAAAAGAGGGATGATTGAAGAGTGGCAAAGCTTATATAAGAGGTTCAGATAGAATATGAGACTTGTGAGAAGTCTTATATGTGAAGTTGAGAGTGATACAAGAGTGAAATCACTTATTTACTTACAAAGAAGACATTCTAGGTTTCTAAGGCAGCAACACCTTCTTATTGATTTTGAGAGTTCTATATCTTCTTTTTTTGATTTTCTTTCATACATCACTTCCTTAGACATGGCTTTAAGTGAAGGTGAGAGCTTGAGAGTGATTGAGAAGTTTAGGGGTGACAACTTTTACCATTGGAAGAAGAAAATAGAGCTTTTATTGGCTTCATTGGACCTTTGGAACATTGTTGATGAAAGTGAAGACCCTCCAAGTGTCAATGTTGATATCAAAGTGAAGAAGGAGTACAAACATCGTGAAAGAAAGGCTTTTGGGATGATTGCAACAAACCTTGATGATGCGAATTTTTCACATGTTATAGCTTGCAATAGACCAACAGAAGCATGGAAGAATCTTTACAAAATCTATGAGAGTAGAAACCTTGCCAACATCCTTTGGACAAAGAAGAAATTCTTGACAATAAAGATGGAAGAAGGAGATGACTTCATGGCTCATGTTAACAAGGTAAAAGTACTTGCTAACCAACTAGCAGTTGTTGACAAACCAGTTGATGATAAGGATATTGTGTTGACATTACTCATGAGCCTTCCCGAATCCTACAACTACCTCATTGTGGCATTGGAGTCCATCAACATGAAGGAGCTTACCATGAATTATGTCATGTCAAGACTTGCCCATGAAGTGACCAAGAGGAAAGAAAAAGAGCTTGCAAGTGATGATTCGGCTCTATTTTCAAGACAAGGCAAAGGTAGGTATTCTCACCAACATGATAATTCAAAAAGTAATATGAAGAATTGCTATATTTGTGGAAAATCAAGTCATTTTGCTAAAAATTGCTACAAGGCCAAGAAAGGAGATAGGGAGAATGCAAATAATGCTAGTGATAGTTTTGGTTGAAGTTGAGTCAATTCCCATGTTCCATTGTCCATGAGTGATTTGTATTCTTCTTTTATAGTATTCTCCTACTTCATAGCATCTGTGGACTTCATTGCATCACATCTTTCTTCAAGTAAGTGAAGAACATGTCAATATTGCATTTCTTATTGATCCATTGAATTTATGTGATGCAATGAAGTCCACGGATGCTATGAAGTAGGAGAATGCTATAAAAGAAGAATACAAATCACTCATGGACAATGGAACATGGGAATTGACTCAACTTCCACCAAATCGATCTTTAATTGGTTGTAAGTGGGTGTTTAGAACCAAAAGGGATGCAATGGGTAATATTATGAGATACAAGTCTAGATTGGTTGCCAAAGGCTACTCACAAGTTACTGGTGTAGATTTCAATGAGACATTTGCTCCTGTGGCCAAATTCACCACTATTAGAACCATTGTGGCAATTGGGGTAGCAATGGATTTGGAGATGCATCAAATGGATGTGAAGACAGCTTTCTTGAATGGAAGTTTGAAAGAAGACATCTACATGGATCAACCTCAAGGATTTGTTGAAGAAGGTAAACAATATCTTGTTTGTAAGTTAAAGAAATCCTTGTATGGATAAAGCAATCACCAAGGGCATGGTACCAACGCATTGATACATTCTTTGTGAGTGAAGGATTTGTAAGGAGTGAGGCTGATCATTCCTTATATGTGATGCAATCAAATGAGTTTATATTGATTGTCATCCTCTATGTTGATGATTTGATCATCTTAACCAATACATTGAAGATGATGGATTGGTTGAAGGCAAAGTTAGAAAAGGAGTATGAAATGAGTGATTTGGGAGAGCTTCACTATTGTTTAAGAGTGGAGTTTGTAAGAGATTGTGCTAAGAAGACCATTACAATGAGCCAAAGCAAGTACATTGAAGAAGTATTGAAACGATTCAACATAGAGGAGTGTAAGCCTATTGGAACACCATTGGAGGTAAACTTGAAGTTGATGAAGTTCACGGATGAAGAGTTTGCTGAAGTTGAAGGTCAAATGCAAGGTGTTCCATACAAGGCAGCAGTGGGCTTACTTATATATGCAATGGCTGCCACAAGGGTGGATCTTGCATATGCGGTGAGTGTTGTGAGTCAACACATGTTAAGGGCTGGACCAATCCATTGGACAATCAT